CAACAAAAAACCCAACATATTTCCCTGCCCCTGTCTTGTAAAGAAACAAGTCTCAAAGAAGATAGCTGGAAGTACTTCAACCTAAGGAACTAACCCACAGTTGAATTTCACGTGGATTCAATATGAAGGCTGCTGGGATCCCATGACAGATAGAAAATTTGTTATATATGATATATGAGTAAGTCCAAAGTAAGTAATTCACTTACAAAATTTTGCACTTGGGAAAAAAACCCAAAACCTTGAGGGAAGTTCACAGATTTCTTTCAGAGCTTTTAAAAATGGACAGTTTAACTGGCAACCTTCAACTTTCACGAAGCCTCAGTTTATAATTACAATACCACAGAATTAGCATCATTTTATTATTGAGCTAAGTGGTTTTTTTTACATCACTCACCACCGCCATCTATGCTATTTTTGACTGATGCCATACCTACAGTTGACAAGAACTCAGGACACCAGTAGCCACTGGAACTTTCAGGAAGCCTCCAAAAGTGGATTAGCTGCTGCCAGCATAGAAAACAAACTTTGTGAAATATCAAAATAAGGTTACTTACTGAATACCAAGCACAAAAGTAGCAATTTGTGTAGTGGTGATGAAAGAGGAAACTCACCAAACAGGCTGCAAACAATACATTTTTTTTTCAGAATCATCCCTGCCTCTGTCTACACAGCAACATGAACCCCCTATATTTAAATTCATCTTCTGTCTGGCATTTTTCTATAATAGGAGCAGATATTTCTGATTTTCAAAGTGTGATTCCTCTGTCCTCCTCCAGTCAAGTCCCTCTTAATATGTTTGTCTTTCTTGTTACCTCCCCCAATCCAGCCTCCTTCATTCACCCACACCATACTGTCCTCCTGCTGCTGGAACAACTTGTTCCAAAGACTCTTACTCAACTGGCATCAATTCCCCAACTCCTGGCTTCTTTCCTGATTCCTCATTGATTCCACAGCTACGCCGTGGATCATTCAAGGTACTTAAGTCTGAGATCTGCTTAATTCAGTGCCTGACTTTCATCTGATAAGCATTATGTCACAGGGGCTTTGACAGGGCTTAATAATGGGGTCCAGTGGGTCACTTGCATGTGTGTACGAATTACCTGTGCCAGTATTGTGGCCAAACTTTTCCTGTTACCTGAGAAACATTAAAAAAAAAATTTCCCCAAAACCACTGCTACAGGCCCTGATAATACATGAGGAAAACCCCTGCTACCTTCAGATGACTCCAATCTGTACTGCTCCCACTGCTTGAGAACAGGGCAAAGTTCTGTTGAATACAGTCCAAGTACTTTCCTCATTTCCTTACAGAGAATTCTTCTCCAACACAAAGTACTTTCCCCAGGTCCATTTAGTTCTCAGCCCATGGTTTTTCTCTATATTGTTCCTTCATCTTTTCTTCCTCTTTTTCCACTCTAGGATTTTCTATTCCATTTTTACCCATAGTCTAAGTTCTCCCTATGCATTGTCTGTGCCCTCCCCTTCTTAGTCCATCAGCCACAGAACTGTATTGACTTCCCCAGCCAAAACCATTTCTCCCTTTATATTTGATGTGTCTTCTGCTTTCCATGTCCTTCTGTCAGGTCTAGATCAACTCCTGCTTTTATTCTAGGCAGGCAACTTCCTTCTCATAACCATGATTGCAGAAGGGGTTGTCATCAGGAACAGCAGACAGCTCCTTGCTTTCAGACCAAACGCTGTGATGACACAGAAACTCTTGTTTGTACGAAGCCTTTTCACTGTGCACACAATTAGGAGTTTTTATCTACAAAAATTTAATAGACTTCACTCAGTAATTATTAATCACAGTTATCTAAATATTTTAATGCCGTTTTATTTGTGTCAGGAAAGGACCAACAGTTAAGAGATTTATCAGGAATGGATCAACTGCAGTCAAACATCAGCTACGACTGGGCAACTGGTCTTGTTGATGGGGCAGCAACACAAACAACACAACTTCAGTTTACTGGGGCTTTGAACCCTGTCTAATGTGACAGGTTCATTAAGAAGTTAGGAGATAATGATACACTTAGAAATTAAAGAAACTGTGAAATATGTGCAAAGCTAGTAAGAAAATGGTAGTCATAGAATGGATATCACTGTCAGATTGGAAATAAAACTAAACAGAATTCCACTGAGGACCATCCTTTATTCAACATAATTAAATATTTTACCTTTGAAACACGAATTTGAGACAGCAAAGCTGAGACAGATTATGTAGAAGAAGCTAGAGATTAATATTAGAATTCAAAATTGTCCCAACAACTTGGAGAAATGGTCTGAAAAAAACTGTAAGCAATTCAGTAAAGGCAAGTTCAGGGCTGTGTGTTCAGGCAGCAACAAGGAATGGCACAACTATGGACAGGAGATGAATGACAATGCAGTACCAGAGAATCACAGAATATTCTGAGCTGGAAGGGACCCACACTGATTATTGAGTACAACTCCTAGTTTTGAGAGAGGGGAGGCATTGTGGATGATGAATATGTCAACAATGTAATGCCTCTGCAAAAAAGGCAAACAACATACCACAGTGTATAAAGAAAATTAGCCATAAGAGCAGGGAGATAATGCTTCCACTCTATCCAGGAAAGCCCCCACTAAAGTACTGTGCTCCACTTTGGGCACTAAGTTCTTAAGAAATACGTGGATCAGATGGAGAGAAGGCAGAGGACAGCAGAAGGAATGATCAGATATCTAGAAAACATGATCTAGACAGAAAGCTTAAATCAACTAAGACAGCTTTGCACAGGCAAAAATAAAATAGAGATACGTTCTAAGAAAGAGGTGAAAGGTGCAGAAGTACACTGGAAACAGGGTAGTAAGTCTTGCACTTTAAGCAAAGAAAGGAAAATTTAGGCAAGACATGAGGAAAGAATTTGTCATAGTACAGACAGATAAGACACTTCAGACAGAATGCCAAAAGTCTCCAAGAGAGGCCATGGAATGATTAGATTTTTAGAGGAAGCACAGATGCACATTTGTCACAACTGAGCCTGAGTTTTGGAAGAGAAGCAGTCTAGATGAGAGCCCCCCCAAAATTCCTTCCAATTCTGTTTTCTAAGGTTTTTCTCTGACCCAATGCACTGGATCAATAAATAAGGCAGAGCAACTATTACACGGATCGCTGGAATGGCAGATAAGAGCAGAAGGACATGATGCACTGTAATTCTAATGGCATGTATATGCATTACTGTAATGCTTTATGCCAGTGCTTTGTATTGACAGTCACAGCATGAAACAGCAGCATAAACCATTTGGAAAAACCTGCTACACTTGGAAATGGCCCAGGAATTCTTATATGTAACACAGCCATTACAGAAAAAAATGTCCTTAGCAGACCATCAGAGAACCAATTACTTCCTGTCTTTGCATCAAGGATCAGAAAAATTCTCCAATCCTTGACTGAAGGAAGAAGAACAGGACACTCTTAACAGGAAGACATTTAGAATAAAATTCTAATACAGAGCATGGGAAGTCAGACAAAAGAATTGTAAAATACCATCTTTGAGGCTTCAACCTTTCACATTCATCTAAAAAAGTAAATACTCTACAGGCCCTTCTGACTTCAGCATGGATCTCCATGGGCAGAAAGCTGTGTCCACATAGACAATGGAGGATTAAGAGCCCCTTGCATGGGTCTCAACAAAGAAAACTCCAATTGTATACACTCTTCACAAGTCAGTGCAATTAAAAAAAAAAAAAGGCAACTGAAAGAACAACCACCTGTAACATACAAAGACATTTATCAACACCAAAACATACAGAGTTTTAGATACACATAAATCACTAATATTGAGTCAAACTTATAAACTCAAGAGACAACCTCCTACAGCTACAGAAATGATATTCTACTTTTCCTGTTTTGCATTTGTATACACATATATACATACATATACATATGCATATATCTGCATGCTACAGCCTGTCAGTGTCACCCAAGCTATGAAATTCTATAGACAGCTTTTGCTCATAAATCTAGAAGACACTTTTTCTTTCAGTAGAACAAACCCTTAATCTGGTTTCAATGAGTTGTAAAAGACAGCTCCTGTGATTCACCCCCTCCCCTCAACAGAAGCACTGCTTGTTAATCCAGCAGGAAATAACATTTGCCAGGATTGACAGCTGTGGATTTGTATTCAATTCCCAAATTAAAAACCAATGACAGGGCCTAGTTCAATGGAGATGTCAAGCAAAATAAAGAAAGTAAAAATCCTGCTGCTTTCTCTGTAAAATACAAACATACATACATTTTGGATAACAATACTAAAAGCTGGGAATGAGATATAATAGGATTAAAGCTGTGTGCAAAGTTTCTCTTGAGGGGTTTTGCCCCCCCCAACTCACATTTTGTATTTTTCCACTTACATATTAAAATTTCCTCTTACTCCTAATAAATGTTTTAAAATGTGTTTAAAACCTATTTCAATAACTATTTGAAACTCTGCAAAAATATAATGTAAAATTTTCACAGTCAAATCAGCAAAATCTTCATATATAACAGTAATTACTGTCCAATTAAAAGAAGGTTTAATCACAAACCAAATATTATGAAGAGATCTAATGGCACAGTTCTCATTCTTCTGCAAAGTCATGTTAAAGGTTAATCAGAGAGCATCTTGGGCAGTTTCTACTGTTAATCAGAATAATAAGAATCAGAGATGGAAAACACCAGATATAGTAAAGAAGCATTGTTTTCTAGTGCTGTAACAAACTGATTTGAAGAGCCAAATGCAACTTTTCCCAGTTCTAACAGTCTTTGGAATAAGTCACAATAGTATGATTCTTCCTGTGAATTCAATCCCATAATTATGAGTTTATAATTCCTTAAGTCTCTGTGAATACTCCTCTCACTTGCTGAAAATTACACCTTTTATGTACTTTCAGACATCCACGTTCCTCCAACACACTGCTTAAATAAGGGAAGAGGGAACATTCAGGACACTGCAGCAACCTGTGAAACAACGAAATGCAGAGGGGTTTAACTTTTTACTGCTGTTTACCTGTAAGAAGTGATCCTCCTCAGGTCTGCAGCAGAAACGTGATAGCCACACTCTTCCAGGACTTCCTCACATGCAATTTCTTCTAAAGAAAGGTCTGGTTTGTCCACAATGCCAGCACAGAGTTCATAGGTCACTCCAACCGCAGCAGGTAAAGGATCCTCCAGGCAAGAGAACTTCTCCTTGTCCTGATTCTGAAAGACTTGAGGATGATGCCTTTCTACTTCACACATATAAACAGCTTTAAAAAAACCCCCAAAACACAAAAGAAAAAGAAACAAGGGGGGTATATTAGTTTATTCATATTAAATAGAAAAAAGGGTGGTACACAAATTTTGCCTGGAAATTTATAACCATAAGAGCACTTGAGAGTAACAAGGAATTCAGCTGTGTTATCTATTAAAATAATGACACACCGAAACTGGAATTTTAAAGAACAAAGGTTCTCTTGCCATGTTTGTAAAATTCTTCTTTAAGCTGTATCTGTGCTTACATCATCTGGAACGGATTCATGAACACCTTAAAATAAATAAAAATTGAAAAAGGAAGCTAGTTCATCCAAGAAATTCAAGTGCCAGAAGTGCCATACAGCTTCCATTTGTTGGGCAATGTGGATATCAGGATTTAATTTAAACTATGCAGTTATTTCACAGAAAAGTTGGGTTGCACATTAAGTACCATGTGCACAATGATAAGTCTTTCAGCCTGTCAATTCAGCTGTTATTTAGAAAGGATATGAAAAGCATTTATGTTTGTTTGAAAAAAAAAAAATTCTCTTTTGAACATATAGTTCCTTGCACAGATTCCTGTGTGGAGTCTAAAAAAGACTTCTTGAATTTATCTACAAACAGCTGCCACTGTAATGCACTCCTAAAGAAAGTGCAAATGCCAGATTTTAGTTCTTATTTAAGCAAAACTCTCACTGATGTCAACAGAAATTTTGCCTGAGTGAGAACTGCAGGGTTGGATGTTAACACTGACAACTCAAGATCACTGTAACTTTAACTTACAGGTATAAACCCACTTGTTTCTTCTTTGAAATTTCCTTACGTCTATCCCCTTGCTTTTCATGAAGTTACCACGAGGCTGTTACAAACCACCCTGAATAAAATTATTTTAAAGTCTGAGACTATTTTCATTCCATTAAAATATTTTACATGCATATTTCACATACGCATAACATCGTTTTCAAATGAGTTTACCTTTTATTTCCCATTCTAAATCTCACAGAACTGGTATATAAGAACTCAAGTTTAATTGACAGCTTTTTGTCCTTCCAGGTACTGGATTTGGCTTGTTATTTCTTAAAACAAGGTCTATAGAGAAGTGAAGTTGCTTAACAGTAAAGTACTACAGTAACTTCTTAAGACCCTGGTCTCTGAGGCAGAGTCTACACTCCAGAAATCAGTGCCTAGGCTCCTTCTGCAATGCTCATTTTGACACCTCAGAAATGAAGAATACCAAGATCAGCACTTGAAAGGGAGATGTCCAGATCAGTCCATTGCCCAAAACCTAATCTTTCTCCAGAAGTTAGAACTTTGAAAGCTGCTTGTCTTAGGGACATCCAGGCCTTTCAATCAAACAGGTAAGGACAGGAGCCTCCATTTCCACTTGAAAGACATGACTAGAGCTCAGTTTTCTTTTTAAAATGCAGCGTGAAGCCAGAAAAGAAAAAATATTCCCTTCCAACTCTAAGGGACAGATCCCTGAAGGGTGTCTATTGTCATTACTCCAAAAATTTCTAAAAGCTATGACAATTACCATAAATGACAACCACGTCCAAGATTTCTCTGAGATGAGCCAAATCCTCTCAAAGTTTTATTTCTATTTTAGTACTGATGTATCCATACAAGAAAATAAAAAAGGAACAACACATGCATCCCATTAAAAGCCCTGGGCATCAAAACAGGATGCAGGTAAGAGTGTAGGGTACAGAAATATGAAATTGTGACTGACTAACCCTCTATTATAAGTCTGTTGTACCATTGAAACCCATCCTGTCATTCCATCAGGCACCTGCCATTCCCCTTCTCCCTCAGCACAACTGGGCTCCACGTAGATCAAAACCTACATTCCTAGAAGGACCTAATCCAGCAGTCCTCTTCAGAGCAAAGTCCTGAGATATGGCGACACTTAAAGCCCAGTAACAGCTTTTCTCTGCAGATAAGGAAGAAAAGAAGCAATACTAGCCACTTCTGTGAGAATCCAAATATTAGAGCATTCACCAAGGAGTCTGATTATGAATTTAATATCACTTGGCTCGCAAAGATTCAAACTCAGTTTGTCTCTCATAGATAAGCAAAGCCTAGAAAACCAATCTGCCTGCTTGGGAACAGAGTTTCCCATACCTCTCCTGAAGGTGTAAAATGGACTGCACAAGTGATGCACTGGGTGATAAAGAGTTTGGAGAGCAGAAATCACAAGAAAGAGCTCAGCTCCCAGCACAGTCACCCATCCACCAGTCCTGTGCCAGATTGCTCTCATCTTCCAATGGCTTGTGCTTCTCTGGTAGAAACTGCCACTTTGTCATCACCAGGCAGTCTCCTCCACGGTCAGATGGACACATGCCATAAGCAGCAGCAGCATGAACTCCCAAGCTGTGCCAGGAGAAGTTCAAGTTGGACATCAGGGAGAATTACTTCATTACATTATTTAGTGCTATGGTTTAGTTGACAAGGTGGTGTTCAGTCAAAGGTTAGACTTGATGATCTTGGAGGTCTTTTCCAACCTTACTGACTCCGTGATTCTACAACTCAAACAACTGTCTGGCCCTTGTTAAACATATTGACTACTCACCCTGGAGCTACTCAGCTGTAAAAAGTCTCAGAGTGGGAACTTCAGTAGAACTGATACACTTGCCTTCCTTTCTGCAAGCTGGGACAAAGGATAGATGTCTCAACCAAACTCAGCAAATAAGATCACAACTGTTATTCAAAGCAGCCTTGTCAGGTGACTTATACAAGGACTTGTTTGCTATCCAAGAGGAAGAACAGTACAGACTGAGGAGTCAGTGGAGTTTGGCTGATTGGGGAATGTATGCTAGCTCCTCTCTAAATTTCTGAATTCTCTTTTATAGCACTGGTGGTTTGCACCTCCTGAAATGGAACATGGCTTATTATTCAAATCTTTGATACTGTTTATTTTAAGTCAATAGAAAACCAAACATCACAACCCACTGAAAGGGCATTATACTTACAGTGATAAAAACCAGGATGCGTGTTCATAGGTGCTACCCCCGCCCTTCCCTGGAACATATAATTTTATTATACTGGAAAATGGGTGGTCAATTGACTACCTAAATAAGAATTGCCCAAGACCTTTGCCAATCAGTCACAAGTAAGGAACTGATATGGAAACTACTGCGATATGCATGTAACTTTCTTCTCTCTGCTCCACCCAAATGTGTGATTTCATGATCATTCAAGATGATCTAAGCCCAGAGTACACTGAAAAATATGGTCCTGCCTCACTGTGTGCTCCTGCCACCCCTCAAGTCAGCATGAATGAACTCCTTCAGGCCAGTCAGGTGAGCTGCCTAGTCCTCAAAACTTTCTGTTTGCAGCCATCCAGGACCTGTGGTGTCACTGCATAAGGGAATGGGGTGGGAACGTACAGGCAAGGAGGGATGACTGCCTTTACAAGCATCACAGACATCAGTGGGAAAACTCGACCACAACACCACAGCCCGAGGAAAGGCCAGCACATGTCACCCAGCACACGTGCAGGGGACGTGCCTGGTGAGCGAGCGGCAGCTGTTCGCTCACAAGCAAGGAGCTGTTGCCTTCCTGGTGGGACCCTGGTAGGATCCAGCAATGAGAAAAGCCCCAGCCTTTGTTTTTGCTTTGTGGAACAGGCACCAAGGCAGACAATAACCATGGAATGGAAATATAATGATAATTACAGGAATATGAGTAATGTCAGGGCATGGCTGTGATCACTGAACTGCTATAGGGCATCTGACTGGTCACTGTCCCTAAGGGCAGGTTTCTGAGCAGCTCCAGCCTCTGGAATGGTTTAGCTCCAGGAATAGTCCAGTTTTTTGAGGCTGATTTGACACTTCTATACAGATAATGTAATGAATTTTTTCTGCTGAAGTTTAGCTGCTTAGTAGACATGTATATGTATATATATATATATGCACATGCATGAAGGTTTCTGCCTAAGATTGCCTCGAAGAGAGCAACAGCTACAGGAGCCATTTTATTTGGCTGTCAAATAAAAGACATTGGATTATTGACAAACAAATAAACACTTTCTAACAGTCAATTAACACTTCCTGAGACACATGCACTGCCAGTGCAACAGTGCTGCACAGCACTGGAGAGGCTGTCCATCGCTGGCAGTAAGAAAGGGCAGTGTGACACTACCCTGAAAAGTTTCCTATAAAGTCTACCATGAACAGTCTTGAAACAGTCTCTTAGCAACAGTCAGTGAAATATCTTGTGATTTCTTTTAATTAACATGCAGAGAATATGCATTTCCTTTAAATTCCAGAAAGTAAATATTACTTTGAATTCAAATAACTGATATAAAGACTCAGAAAAAAAAGTATATTAACTTAAATTCATAATAACAACTAGTAAAATGAAGCTGTGTACATACTGATGAAAAATCATACAGTCCTGAATTTCTCTCATTTTAAATTCCCAAGTATACACTGCACAGTAAGACAGTAAAAAAAAGGAATATTTAAGACAAAATTTAAAAAAAAACCCAACACACCAGCTTCTGCTCAGAAGCTGCCTACTAAATACTAGATAGGTCAAGAAGGAACTTCAAATTAAAGCAATTTCTTGCATCGTCATTGTAGAGCTGTTTGTTATTTCATCCAAAAGAGTTCAATAACCAGCCCAAAAGCAGAATGTAAGGCTACCCTGATCACTTGTTTCATCTGTAATGGAAATTTCCCTGGTTAGAAATTCTGACCAACTGAAAAGGACGGGCTATCATAGAAAGAAACAGAATATAGAACAAAGATTTTATCACCACAGATGCACCAACTTTTAACTGCTAAACCCTTAAAAGCTTGCTTCACTACAGAGCAAAAGTAAATCTAAAAAAGAGGATTACCTGGGCGGAACTGCTTCACCAAAACAAAGCACTGCCGGGAAGTATTAAAGATCAGGATTGACACACTGAGGAGGAAGACAAAAAACCAAAAGATCAATGCTTTATGAAGGATTAATGCAGAACTATTAAACTTACATCTTGTGAATTTAATTTTAACTACATAAATACATAGATTTATTACTAAAGGTGCAATGCAGCAAGATGCTTGTCCAAAATCTGTCTAGAGGGATAGATAATGGGTCATGTTCCCAAAGCCCATGAGAATTTACCAAAAATTAAGTCTCTTTTGTCTTCTGCCATGCAAAATAAGCACCAATCAATTCCTTCTTCCCAACAGGAAAAAAAAAAAACCCAAAACTTTCAGTCTAAGAACACTGGTATTACACAGAAAAAAATCCTCAAAATTAAAAGCATTTTCTACTCTTATATCAATCCCAAATTAGGATAGTCAAAATCTTAGGCACAGTCTAGTGTCATTCAGACCAGAGACTTCTGCACAAGCACAGAGCATGTCTCTGTAGCTGCTTGCTGAGCTAAGGCCTTAAACTAGACACCATCCAAGTTCAATTCTGAACAGATTTAAACTAGAAGTAGTTTCAAGTGCTACCACATTAATGGTTCTTTGAAATACCTGCCATGGGGAAACCCGACAGGTTGAGTATTTAGAAATGCTCTAAAAATGTGGAGTACTGATATTCTCTGCACACTCTCATATTTTACTCGTTTAAGAAAATGCAGACAAAAATCTCCCTCCTTAGTTGGTAGCCCACTGCCACCTGCAAAAAACAGTGTATATTTTGCTCATTACCATGGTAGCATTCTCTCATTTGTTATGCCTCACTCTATGCAACTGGAAAGTTAATTCATTATTCTATTAATTCTACAATGGCTTATTCTAACAATGGCATATTTGCAGGGTTGAGTCAAACTTTCAACTTTCCTTGTAAAAGACCTTTATATTTATTTTCACTATTTGATTTAATAATGAAGTCACCAGCTGCCAGAGAAACTGCTATTTGATGATTATTAAAAATCATGTTAATGTTTATTATAATAATATATACAAACCAAAACAGAAGGGACAAGTCCAAATGTTAACTTTTATATTCATGGTTGCTATTCTCAAAGACCTGTACTGCATATTGATGCCTTCCTGCCCCAGGAGATGCCATTTGCAGGGAATTTTAAAGCAAATGTTCTAGCCTTCAGAGAGGCTGGAGGAGAACATTCGCTCTGTTTACTGGCACAGGGGTTCTTTCTGGCCTAGACTAGAATATCTGGGAGTTAAAGTGTAGATTGCCAGAAGAAATGAAGTTAAACCACGGACCGTCATATTTTTAAGATTACTTAAATATTATTCTTTTATTTTTTGGTATTTTCTTTTTCTTTACTTGACTGTTCCTTTCCCAATAGGTACTATCTGAGGGCAGACACTGCACTACATAAAAGGGGAAAAGGAATTACTGCTAGTGAGCCTCTGTTGTTTTGTCCACGAGCCTAAGGATGTGCACTGCCTGAAACTGGAGACAGCAGCAGCCTAAAGCTGTGGATGAAGAGTGAAAGCTTCCTGAAACATATGGCTGCCCTTTACCTTTCTTTACATCCACCACCTCAGGCTCAATCTTCCCCTTGGCTTGTCTTCTTCGTCATGTCTCATTAAATAACTCATACCAACTCATTAAAAATGGCTCAGCTATTAGACATTATTTTTTCCTAGGAGTCAATCACTTGAGATTTTTATGGAACAGATGGGAAAATTAAAAACAATCTGTCAGAATTAAGGAACAAGATCAAATTAGCTGGAAAGGAATAGCAGCAAGTTATTTCAATTGTCTGCTTCTCACACCATCTTGAGATGAGAGGGTACAGAAATGGCACAAATCTGTAGAACTTTCTATTTAATTACTTCTAATTTTCTGAGAGACTGACAACCAATTTTGAACAGAAATTTACATTTTTTAACAAACCACAACACACAAGTTCTAGTATTTCCTGTCACAGTTGGAGAGCCATAGAGGAAAAAGTTAAGAATTGCACCTTCTGAGGAGGAGCGTGACACTGGGAATGTTGTTTGGTGTTTCTTAGTCCACAAGAAACAAAATGACATGAAATATTTCCACAGGTCACCAGGTCTGTAACTTCTGAAAACCCATTTAAGGCTGCCCTTAGGACAGTTTTTTGAGTACTACCCAAAGTTAGAGCAAGACATTTCAATAGATCTAAGTGGAGGATCCTCTGAGCCACTGCTTTCAATGGGTTTCCTTATTGCTGCAATGACCCAAACATGCGTGTTCAGCTGTTCGGTCTGGTCTGTAAGAAAAATCAAGTATTTATCTTCTAGAGTTCTAAACCATCATACCAAGAATTTACTACAAAATTAGTTTCAGATTACTATTTTTACAGATGATACAGGTACAGAAAAGAACTGCTACAAATCCATTAGTAGGTCCAAATACATCTTTCAGTCCTATCATACCACAGGGCACTACAAAAGTATTTGATGTTTCAAGGCAATTCCCTTTAAACTATTACAACCAAACCTAATTTAGGGTATTAGATATGTATCTATAAGCTTTAAAGTGAAGAGTGAACATATAAAATAAAAAATTAAAACATTCACAAGGACTTGTTAGCATCTCCACATATAAAAGATACAGAACAGAAACAAAGCCCAAGCTGTATGTTAGAGAAAAAACACACAGAAGCGCTAGAAAAGAAAGAAAAAAAAAGCCCAGCCACATTTCCTAAAAAAAGGCAGGAATCCTAGTCGAGGATTTAATCTAAAATGGATATCAAAGGTCCTAATGTAGCAACAGGCTTCACGTGCCTCTGTCTCAAACAGGAGCACAAGACCACTTTTTTGTTAGATTTTACAAAGGAAAAGAATACCCAGATATAAAAGGATCACGATGAATCCTAAACTTTCCGCCATTCCTTAAAACAAGCTATGACACCTCTGCACTAAGGAAACACTTTATCAGCTTAGACCTGCTAAGCTTTTCATTTTGTGTGGCAGATTACTAATTTTTACCATACTCCGCAGGTGTGCATCTTTGCTGACTCTTCCCCCAGCAGCTGACATTCAGGGAAATCGCTGGTGTAAAAGGGGAGCCCATTAATGCAAAGGGAATGCCATGAGCCACAGACCTGCAGCTGCACTCAGGGAGCACACCCAGCACAATTGCTGCATGCCAGTGTCACACTGGGTACCTGCCACTGCCAGGGCCTTGACACCTCTGCAGGCAAGAGGTGGCTGAGAAGGAATCCCTTAAAAATGTGCTCTAGGTTTCATTCTGGAGCTGTAATTTGCTTCTGTAAGACATGGAGCACCCTGACCAGTGACGGAGAGTTGGCTTCCCCACACCACATCTGTCAGTGCCTGCATTAGGGACCACAAACAGAGAAAGAACACAGTAAGAGATGACATGGGTTTGTGCAGAGTCTTCCAGGGCTAGTGGAGACCACAGGCCTGCTCAGCCTTCAGCCAAACCCCTCCTCAGCTTCCCTTGCAGTAATTCCTGATCACTTTATACATACAATAAATCACTACTCCAATTACAGCACAGTTTTTCCCAAAGGAGGCATGCAGGTAAACAGCATACTGTGCAATAGTGTAGGATGCTGTTCTTTCTATAAATATACGAACAATTAGGGTAGCCTTAAAATATTTTAAGAAAGAGATGTACCTAAATGTCAGCAAGATATCCCTACTAAGAGCAACCAACCTGTACTTGAGCTTTTATTGTACTCAAGTTCACATTTAAAGTGTGTCTGGTCTTGTTACCTAACACAATGTGTTCTGAGAGGGATTCCAGTAATTCAGCCAAGGCTCTCACAAAGCATTTAACCATTTAAATTTCAAAGAAAAATCTTACTGAAATAGAGAAATATTATCATTCTCTAATGGATATTTGTCTTCCCTAAAATGTCTAAATCGAAGTGCAGAAATTACATACAACTGACCCATGGACATCTGCAACCCAGGAGTCCAGAAGTTTAATTCCTCCTCCTCCTTCTCCAAAGACTCTTACTGAAGGACAAGATATCCACCTGAATACAACCTTTACAGTTGAAAACACCTCTTGGAAGAGTTTAGAAAATGACTCCGTTGTGTGCCACAGAACATTATTTCCACATTTGTTCCTTCCCCCAACGTAGCACAGCTCTGTATTTATTGAACTCATGGTAACTGATGCTTTATGACATTCCAGCCCAGCAGATATTTATTTACACAGAAATACTACTACAACTTCACACTCTCAAACCTGAGAAAGGAAGGTGGTGTTTCATGGAGCGACGTAAAACATTTGACCGCGGCAGTTACAAGGCAGGGGACAGATGAAAACTGACATCCTGTTAAAATGTGCACACACACATATGGACACATGCAAAGTCAATTATTTAGAAATACATCCTAGCAATTAAGATCAGCAAGTAAACTTTGCCACAGCTTCATGAACACTTGAAGGAAGGTTTTGGGGGTGGGGAATAAGGGGGTTTGTTTAGGGTCTCTTTGTGTTTTGTGGTTTTTTTGTTTTTTTTTGTCTGAGAGGGTTTTTTGCTCTTTGTTGCTGGAGTTTTTTTTCAGGTAGACATCTAATTTCACCTTGTAGTCATCAGTTTGGTAATCTGTCTGCATGATTTGTCAGTTGTTAACCTGAGCTACAGTTAATCCACAAGCAAATGCTGACACTTACTAATTGCTTTTCATGAGACAAACTTTCAAAATCCTTTAATAAATGAAGATTCATTCAGCCTTTTGTTATTCTTAAATGTGGTCCTAATGCAGACTTTAAAATAGTGAATTTGTAAAACTAAAAAATAATTTAAAAATGCCCCACAGTATAGTAATAGCAAAGACAAGGACAAGACTGTCTTGTGTTTGTTGATGAAGTAAGACTCTCAAGGCTGGAGGTGATGATTTTTAATGACAAACTTGTACTAATAACTAAAATACTAATACGCTTAAACAATTGTTGAGGTAACACAGGTAAAGAAACCAATCTTTCTTGAATCATGTGTATGTGTGTGTCATACACAAATTGTGATCTGACATTAACAATGA